CCCACTATGGTTCCTCCGACCACCATATCCTGCCGACTATGATCCCTCGGACCTCTATTGTCTGCCGACTACAGTCCCCCTGACCTCTATTGCATGTTAACTACGGTCCCCTATACCTCTGTCACATGCCGATTATGGTCCATCCAATCTCCATTGCCTGTCAACTATGATCCCTCTGATCTCTATCACTTGATAATGGCCCTCTGACCTGAGTTTCCCAATTACAATCCCTCAGACCTCTATGGCTCGACTATGATCCTACCAACCAAAGGAGGAGGCCAACATTCTTTTGAGAATAGCTCACATATAATTAAATTATTCCAACCCCAACTATGTAATATGCTCTATATTGAGCCAACGCCTTCCCCTAAGGAAGGGCAACATTTTTAATCAACGATAAAAACTAGTGGATTTATTTCAAATGGGCAAGTCCTCAAAGCTTTTCTCTCTTTTTAGGGTTTTTCACATAAATATTGTGGTGTATCTTATGAATCTTGCACCCCTCTCTCTTTATATACATGTGTGTTGGATCTTCATTAAAAGCTAGAACGCTAAGCTCTTTATCTCTTTGCCATCGCAAATGTTCTAGGATGCAACATACTTAATTTTTTTAATGTGGGAAGTCATCAACAGAAAAAATATTAGGTTTATTTAATCAAGAAAGCTTATTTTAATGTTTAATATGAGTTTAATGGGTCATCATTCCTTAAACTCAAACAAGTTAATAAATACTTGCAAAATCGTGATGTTACTAGTTTCGCTAATGTTAGCGATGTAGAAAGATTAGTTACATGTAAAATCATCCTCTATAAGATAAGAATAATATGTCATAAATAAATCAACATTGAAAGGTCAAAAGGTGATAGAGGAAAATCAATATATTCCTCCATCTCTAAAACATCCCAACTCCTAGTGCTTAAAATTATCATCATATGCTCCTTTAGAGCTAAAACATATACATTGTTAAATTTTTTAGACTCTTATGACCAATCCTTTGTTCCATCCTTTCAATTATCTTTTATTTTGTTGAAGTCTCTCCCACCTCTCTCCTAATTTCCCTCGCTGTCTGATTCCAACCACATAATGGATACATAAGTGAATCTCCCAACTACCCTAAGAATCCCTAATGAATCCATTTTAATTGAGTGAGGCCACAAATGTTAGAAAATATCTTATCGTCCACATATTTTGTGTTGATGCTTTAAACTTGAGGAAAATCATGATCAAGTGAATTCGGCATCATTATAACTCTATACAAGTCAAATAACCTATCAAATTTGGGATGTGAAACTCCTCTAAAGAATGCTGTCATCCATAGTGATTTGGTCATACAACAAGTTGCCTGTCCAACAAGATAGGGACTTCATCTAATAGGTCGACGACAACTTTAATCAAAAATATATTGTTGTAATCGAATAAGTTAGCATCTTCATCTTGCTAGTTGGCAACTTCTTCCACCGAGTCAATCAATTAAGAAGTATAATCTTCAAAATGACGCTTCAATTAATATATATCGATAAGTATACATGTCTCAGCCAAAATTTTGGTTACATGTATTATGTTATCAAATATATATTATTATTCTTTAAATAATATTTCATGTATCTAATGCCCAAAATCTTATAAATATAGGATCTCATTTTAAAGGAGCAATAAAACATACAATGCTTCTTTCTCCAAGAGCTCATTTCCTTAGCTAAGATTCTCTTTATGTGTGCGTGTAATTCTTCTAAGAACCAATAATGTGTGAAACCAACATATTTATATATTAATAAACAAATAATCACATAAAAATCGAAATGGTGCATCATTTTTTATCATGTAAACATCATTTTTTCGTGATAGCTATTTTTGAGCAATAAATATAAAGCATTATAAGTTTTATTATTATTATTATATAATAAAAATCATAAAATCATAGAACAATTCCTTTTCAATATTTTGTTCTCAGCACAATAATTTTAAAAGCCATTCTTGAAATGTGAAGGACAAAATAATCATTATTACTCTAATAATTCATTTGATTGCCACTTTTGACCTACTTTTTGGACTAAATAATCATTCTCTTTACATTTTTGCACTTCATAATTACAGGATTAAAATCTTTTGGCCCCACAAATTTGTCATGTTACACTTCATTCTTTTCTTAACTTATCAAACTTATCTCACTACGCATGATTGCTTTGATTAGTACGTCAACTGATTGTAATGTGAAGCGAGTTAAATAATATATTACGCAACTCATCTTGGTCTGTTGGTTAGAGGTATTGGCTAATAACTAAGAGGTCTTTGATTCAAAGATAACGTGTGTGAGTTTGTCTTAATAGCTCAAATGTCTTATTAAAGTTGAAGAATATTGCTCTTTCAATATTCCAGAAAGCGGTCTAACGAGTTGGTTTTCTTCGCAACAGGTTTTTCTCGAAAAATTTATACTGTCTTGTTCGTGCAAATGCTATATCTGATATAAAATATATTTTAGATATTTTGATGACTTTATGAATAGCTCATTTACTAATTGTTATAAAATTAGAAAAGTAAATCTTACCAAATCTGATAAATTGAAGAAATTTTGGGAGATTTAATGTCTAGTGTTTCACTTGAAGGATCAACTTGCATCTTGGGGATATTTTTTATTCATACTTGGTGATCATTTTAGTGATTTCTATCATTGTATGTGATTTTTGCTCATTTTATGATCCTGTTTGGGATTACTTTAATTTCTTATTTTTTTACTTTTTAGACCGCAATTATAATATCTGTTTGACTATTATTTTCATTGTTTTCAAAAAAAATTGTACTAACAAAATATTTTTTACAACAACTTTAAAAAAATTTGTGCTTCACAACAACATTACAACGTCCTTTACAAAAAGTTACATTCATGACCCTAAATCATATTTTTGAGGATTGAGCTTTTTTTTTTAATCACTATGAGTTTAATTTTTTTTGGGTATGAAGGGGGTGTTCCACGTCATAATTTTTATAGTTATTTATGTGTGAAGTTAGAGCCTTCATTTTTTTTTTATTGGGACAATTAGATCAATTTAGGGAGATTCACACACACATCGCATACACAAGACTCGAATTCAAGATCTTTTAGTTGGTATCTAAGCTCCCAACCAATATCTCAAGGTGAGCTGTGTAGATCCTTCATTTTGTATAGCTTTCTTACTATTTTATTTTTCAGATCGCAGTCATAATTTTTTTCCACTATTTAAAAAAAATTGTACTATGAAGATATTTTCTGCAATAGCTTTCAAAAAAATTTAATTTTTCTAAAACAGCTTTATAAATGTCTTTATAAAAAGTTACTGCAGTATGAAATGAGCCTGTAATTTTGATTGATTTTCTCATATATAATTATTTTTTATAGTTAATAAAATTAGTTTATGCTCCTAAATTTTAAAAGAAAAAGTGAAAAAACGCTTGTTTTCAATTTTAATAATTTAAAATTAAAATTAATTAAAAAAAAAACATTTTTTGAGGAGCCTTTATAATGAACTTTTATTGGGTGCGGAGTGCGGACGTAGTTCTGTATGTGCAAACAAGTAGTATCGCGCCACGTGGAGCCCACCTTGACCCCACCGTATTGAGGAGAGCGTGTGCTCTGTTTACCTGATAACCCGATAACACGAACCATTTGATCTACTTCAAAAAATGCGCGGTTAAAGCTAGGGTTATATTTGCTGGCGCGTGTTTTTTACCTCAGTTAAAAATTTTTTCTCGTAACACCTGAAACCTCAGAAAGCAGGAGCAGAGCATAAGTTATGTGGTTCGAGGCGTAAGGTCTGAAGATGGATAATGTACTGGAAGAGATTAACGACTGGTCGGAGATGGAAGGTTTTACGCAAGAGCCAGAGCTTAGAGCTAAGTTTTATGCATTTTTCGATAATTTTGAGCTTTTAGGGTTTAGTTTGAATGATGTTGTGAATGCCATTTGCCCGTGAAATTGTGTGACAAAATGTACCGCTGGGTATTGTTGGGTACCGGTCGGTACCGCTGCGTTATCCGAATGTGTACCCAGCGGTACCTTCCCGATTAAGCTATGAAATTTCTGTAAGCATTCTAAGTTCTATAAGGCCTTGTAGATATAGGGTTTGTTGTTAAAGTTTATTCTTGATTTTACCGCATTCCATGGACTCTCGTCGGTAGCGAGTTGTATTGTAATTTTTTTCCTGGTTATGCTCGGTACCAGTCGGTACCTCTAGGTACTACTCGGTACCAGTCAGTACCTCTAGGTACCGAATTGTATGCATAGGTAACGACCGGTTCGTAGATGTACGAAACTGGAATTAAATTTAGCCTAATCAATAACACAGGGATATGTACCGAAGATTAGTTTCCGTTGCAGAACGTCAACCTTCAAAGAAGTATGTGATCATTTAGTGGAAATATTTGGCGAGAACCTCGTTGAAAGTTTGAAGCAATATAATCTGCATCATTTTCTTTTTATGCCCCGTCTAGTGCAGAATGTGCCGTTGTTTAGAACCGACCTGATCTGTTTTCCTCAGTAGCAATCTCCTCCCTCCATGCCACTTTAAGCAAACTATCACACCGATCATGCCATGTATGAACACAGCATCTACATATTTCATTCCGTTTTGCTTGCCGCTCAAGTTCACTTTCTGCAGCAGTTAATACCACAACCACCCATCTTAAATTCCTTCAACAGTACATCTGCCCAATTTAATTTCAACAAACATAGTAAATATCAACCCACAACAATAACGTTACGTTGAAGCAGCAGGATATTGTACTGCTCGGTAATCGGCGGTATCGATCAGTACCGGTACTTAAACGGTACCTACCGGTACCGAGAGGTACCTACCAATACCGAGAGGTACCGAGAGGTACCGAGAGGTACCAAAAACGCTAATACGCAATAGTACCGATACTTAAAGGTACCCACCAATACCGAACGGTACCGACAGATAAAAAAGGCCGAATTTTCTACAATAATGTCAAAAATCAAATAAAAACAAATTAGAAATTCGGAATATTTATCCAAGCCTTTCAGCATCAATAAATCCATTCATCATGTTTAAATATTCAGGGTTGGGCTGACTGGTTGGTCGACGAAGAAGCCACTCATCAGTGAAGCATTCTGGTATGTTCGAAAAGGGAACATGACTAAAAGTTTCTACATGTGTTTGCTGATGAGTTGAAGTAAAATAAACTGGTATAGTTGCAAAAGAAACTTGGCTACCAGGTCCTGCTGGTGTAGGCTGATTAGTTGAAGCGAAGCATTCTGGCATACTTGCAAAAGAAACTTGGCTACTAGGTCCCGCTGGTGTAGGCTGATGAGTTGAAGCAAAGCAATCTGGTATAATTGCAACAGAAACTTGACTACTATGTTCCACTGGTGTAGGCTGATGAGTTGAAGGTGTCTGTTGTTCCTCAGCCTCTTTCTCACTATTACAAACAACCTACGAACAACAACCAAAAAGAGTTTAACATTGGAAATAGACACACAATTTTAAAATAACTTCTGTACCTACCGGTACCTACCAGTACCGACCGATACCTACTGATACCTAGCGGTACCG